GGACCCCCGGGCGGGCCCCCGGTGTCCGCGTCCCGGGGGAGCGGGGGGCGCGGGCGGGGAGCGCGGCCGAGCCCCGCGCGGGGCTGCTGCTGCTCGAGTGGGTGTGCCAGGAGACGGCTCAACAGGTCCCGACACATTTCTCTGAAAACTGTACTTTGCAAAGGCGATTTTATTGCAATCCGGCGGTTTTAAGTATTTGCAGCGTTTTCCGCCCTTGGGCAGACTCTCGCAGCTGATTTTTGACACGTTTCCTACGCTGGATGATTCGCTGCCTTGGGTTTTTTTGGGCGTTGGGGGAATTGTCAAATGAAACAACTACCTTCTCCCTCCCCTTCATGTTGAAAAGGAAGAAGGCAGCGCTGGAGGTATTCTTGTGTTTTCTGTATTTTTTCCGGTCGCCGGCGGTGTCCACCTTAAGCCGCGCAGCGTTCGGGGTGCCCCGCTCGGGGCTGCGGCTCCGGGCTCCGCTGCCCGGGCAGCGCGGACGGGACCCCCGGGGGCTGCCCGGAGCTCCTGGCGCTCAGCCGCTCCCGCCCGCCGCCAGCTCGCCCGGGCCACCTTAAGGTTTTACACGTGGGGCCTTTTTGTCGCTCGCAGCCCCAACTTCGCGCACGGGAATAGCGGCGGGCCGGGCTGCGGGGCCGGGGCCGTGCCCCCGTGCCCGGGCGGGGACAGGCTGGCAGTGCCCCCCGGACTGCGGCACTGCGGGCTGGGCGCTGCCGGGGCAAGGCCGGACACCGTGTCGGAAGTTTGCCGAAGAATTTACAGTGTTTCTCCAAATGTTTATGCTCTCTGCCGAAAAAAAAAAAGAGAAACCATGTAGCAAATACAAACATCTGAAACTTACGAGGTTTGTTTTCAGTGTCGGGTGCGTTTGGAGAGTAGCCGTGAACGGGTAGAGTGCTGGACGCTAATAAAAATCCTGCTTTATTTTTGGCTACATTTTATTTATAAATTTCAGATGTATTTAAAGAATTATGGGGGGTTTACTGCGAGGTGGGTGGGTTGCATTTTAAGACTGAAGGTGGCAAACGCTGTGTTTTGTGGTGGGGAGGTCGAGTCCCGGGGAATGCCAAACCACGGAGGTGCCGCCCCCGGGAGCTCCAGACCTGCTCTGCAAGGGGAGAGCTGACTTGGAAAGGTGGAAATGTGCTTTTCCCCTGCTCAAGGTGTAGTTAAATACCGGGGAAATTTACCTGGCAAAATTTGTAAACTGGGTCCTTGAACAATTCTTACATTTCCTTAGTGCGGGGATGGGTGACAGAGCTGGAGAGTGCGTGTACAGATATCACGTGCTGTAGCTTGATTCCGAGTTGTGCGCAGGCAGACTTGCCCCTTCATCCAGGTTTAGCAAAGCTTTAAAATGCATAGTTCCTCCTCACCAGACAGAAACCAAAACCTAAAACCCCCTGAAAACAAGCGCAGTGTGTCTGAGACGTGGCACGTGTCGGCCCAGAGCGTGGTGTGCCGTGCCTTCGCTCTCAGAGCAGCTGAGCCAGCTTCGCCAGGCGAGGGATTCACTTTTCATTTTAAAGCTGTTGTTAACGTGTCCTTGTTGTGCTGACTTTGACTGCTTCTCATCTTTTTATAGTTAATGGTAAAGTAATGGATTCCAAAGAATTGCTTAACCCGTTGGATCAAGACGAAACCAGGAAAAATGCACTCATCAGTACCAAAGGAGGGATCGTGATGGACTTCCATCCACCCTTCAGGGGTGGAGCTACTGTCCAAGCCCCTGTGTCTACATCTCCTCTCCCTGCATCTTCTCAGTCAGATTCCAGTCAGCAACCTGCTTTGGCTGACTTTCCAAAAGGATTAGGAAACAATGTGCCTCAGCCAGACCTTTCCAAGGCAGTGTCGCTCTCGATGGGACTGTACATGGGTGAAACAGACGCAAAAGTGATGGGAAACGACCTTGGATTTTCGCACCAGGGCCAAATCGGCATCTCTTCCGGAGACACGGACTTCAGGCTCCTGGAGGAAAGTATTGCGAGCTTGAACAAGTCCTCGAGCCTGGCCGAGGACGCCAAGGGAGCCGCGTCCTCCGAGGTGCCGCTCGAGCCGGATTTCCCAGGCATGGCCGGGCGCAGCGTCCCCGCGGAGTCGGGCGCTGCGGTCCAAAGCCAGGTGGGCTCGAATGGTGGCAACTTGAAGTTGTTTTCTGAAGACCAAAGCACCCTGGATATCCTCCAGGATTTGGAATTGCCGCCGGTGTCGCCGGGCAAGGAGCCCAACGGGAGCCCGTGGCGGCTGGACCCGTTGCTCGATGACGGTGGCTTGCTCTCCCCCATATCCGCGGACGACGCCTTTCTCCTGGAAGGAAGTCTCGGCGAAGACTGCAAGCCTCCTCTTTTATCTGACACTAAACCTAAAATTAATGACCGTGGTGACCTTTTACCCAGTTCCAAAATGCCAATGCCTCAAGTGAAAACAGAAAAGGAAGACTTCATTGAACTGTGTACTCCCGGCATCAAGCAGGAAAACATGGGCCCGCTTTACTGCCAGGCCAACTTCTCCGGGTCGAACCTGCTGGGTACGAAAGTCTCGGCCATCTCCATCCACGGTGTCAGCACCTCTGGGGGACAGATGTACCACTATGATCTAAATACTGCGTCGCTCTCTCAGCAGCAGGATCAGAAACCAATTTTTAATATCATTCCATCTCTTCCTGCCGGGTCAGAAAATTGGAATAGGTGCCAGGGATCGGGGGACGAGGCATTGGCTCCGCTGGGATCGCTCAACCTCTCTGGCAGACCTGCTTTCTCTAATGGCTATTCAAGGTAATTAGTTTGTGTTGCTCTTTATTAAAACGCTACAAGTGTGTTTAGCACAGCTCCATGCATGCTGGTTTGTTGCTTGGGGTTTTTTTCCTTTTTGTTTTCCTTTTCCATTTGGTATGTGTGGCTGATCAGACATCACTGGGGAGTGTTTATCCCACAGTATAACATCAGCTTTAAACAACTACTCAATTTATTGGTATTAAAGGAAAGAAAACTTGAGCGGAGCTGGCATGGTCTAAAAAGTAAATAAATAAAAATAAAACTTCCAATATACAGCCTAGAGGGAAAATCGAGTATGTGGTAGCAGGATCCATACACAGGCAGTATGGAAGGAAGTATTTAAGTGTATACAAAAAGCTCCTTCGTTCCCAGGGGTTAGAGGATCAATCACTGTGGGCTTTTTTTCCTTCCTAGCATTACTTAAATGTTATGCACAAAAATAACTTGGTTGCTGGGTAAATTTCTAGAATTACATTTAAGCTGAACTCGAGTTTTCGCTGTGCTCGGTATCACATTTACCTTACATGGACAAGAAGATTCCGAGTGGGAAACACTCAGCAGCTTGTTCAATAATGCCTGTGAAGAGATAAGAGTATTTGCAGTGGGACTTAAACATACCTGGAATTTAACTCCGAGTAGAAGGGCAGGAGGGGGTGTGGGGAGCTGGGTCCTGCCTGGGGCCCGTGCCTTGGTGGTTGTTTCCTGGAGTAACGCAGAGGTGCTGCTGCTGGAGGAGCAGCTCTGGGACACTTTTGGGACAGCTCTGGGCTAGGTGTGCTGGGCTGTGCTGCTGGAATGGTTCTGGTTCCATGGGAACACCCAGCCGTGTGTCTCCCTCAGCTGCTCTGGCTTCAGCAACTCCTTGCACGAGCAGCGTGTGGCCTCCACAGAGGGGGATTTGTGGAGTCTGTCAGAAATGGGCCCTGCAAGTGCCTCTACAGAAACCTGGCATTTGTAGGCTTTTAATGAAGGATCTGCTTTAACGTTCTGGGTTTTGTTGCTCTGCTGACAATTGCATCCCCAGGGTGTTCCCGCCAGTCCCGGGCTCTCCCTGCGCGATATTTGCTCCATTTTCCCCTGGCTGGAATGAAGTGTGCGAGGATTCCTTCTTTGTTTCAGGAAGACAACTTCTAGCTTGCTTTCATTCTCAGTTCCTTTCATGGATTTTGATTTCTGTTGTAAATGTTTTTGATTTTGTTTTTTTCTTTGAAGTGTTTAAAACAATTTGTAGTGTAGGAGATCCAGAAAAGAAAATCAAAACCTGTGGCTAGACTCCACCTTGATACGTGAATATTCAGCGTGTCTTACCATTTATTTCGACAGACCAGAAATGCTTTGTGCTAACCTTTTGCATAATTCGTCCAATTCCGTGTTGTGTTCAGTTTGTTTCGTGGGTTTTTTTTTTTAGTTTATTTCCTCTGTTCTCACTGTATCTTTAATGATAATCATAAACTTTGTGTCAAAGCAAGAATGTTTCTGCACTGGGGAGGAGGCTTTCAGGGACAGTTTCAATAAGCAGATTCCCCCGAGGTAAGGGAAATGTCACATTGGAGGGTAATTCCGAGGAGGGGCAGAGCTGGGCAGAGCTGGGCAGGCAGAGCCCCACGCACTCGGGTGGGGAGCAGGCGATGCCCAGCCCTGGGGAGCCCAGACACGGTGGCGTGTCCTGTGTGATCCTGGAGGGATGGGCAGCTCCTCTGGGCTCTGAGGGTGGCAGAGCTGTCCCGAGCAGGGGGAGGTGTCTGGGGCAGTCTGGGGCAGGGTTTTTGGGCACTCTGGGGCAGGTGGCAGTGCCCGGGGCAGCGCAGGGACTGTCCCGCAGCATCCCCGCCCCAGCTGCCTCCTCCCCTGCCCAGGGTTATCCACCCCGGGGCTTCAGCGTTGACGTTCTTGCTTCCTGCAAGGTCATCTTACATTTTATTGCTTCCTTTTTGCCGTAAGATAATGTTAGTTTTTTTTTTTCTTTATGGAATGTGTAAAGAATTTCGAGGTGGCTCCTAGTTGAGCTTTGCATAAAAATGCATTATTCACAAGTTTGTGGAAGCTGTTCTTACTTCCCAAGGATTTTTATACACTTCAACTACAAAGTCTAGTTCTAAAAACGGCATTGTTTGGGTTTGTTTTATTAGTTTTACTCTATAACATTCAGGCAAGTTCATCTTCCTTTTACAGTGTCTGAGGTATTAATGAACCCTTGGTTTGAAGCAGGAATTTTTTTTCTTCTTGAACCTTGCCAGAAATATTTGGTCTAAACTGGGTTAGTTTAAGGTGATGTATTGTGGATTTGTTTGTTTTTCTTGCAGAAGACTTAACAAAATTGGCATTTGTTTTAGAAACAAAGGAAGGACTCCCTTGCCAGGTTCCCGTGGTCTGGTTTTTTTTAGGTACTAAATGTGAGAGGTGGAGGCTGGGATTTTGAGAAGCTTCAGTTTCCAGGAGGAAATACTTTTTGGTGTTTGTAGAATTATTTGTCTACTAAAAACATATTAGTTGTAGCCTGAACATAGGGGAAGAAAAGCTGCAGTTCAGCCCTGGTGTTCAGGCTGTGTTTGTTTAATGGGAAACCTGGAATGTCCCTTTCTATCCACTCAGGCTGGAATTGATGTCATGCCATTTCTGAGTGGTTTTGCCCCTCCAGGTAGCCCAGCATGCTGGCTCTAATGAGACAAGTGATAATCAGGCCCAAGAAAACCAATCAATTTGCAGTGAACGGCGGGAGGGATCCGGAAGTCAACAAGCAGAACGCAAACTTCAGGAATTTGATGAATGGGAATGAACTGGCAATAATCAATAAGCTGCTGGTGGTGGAAGAGCCAGCTGGTGCTGGTGCTGAGCTGCTGAAGCCCTGAGCTGCAGCTGCTCAGGCTGCAGATCTGAGCAGTGGGGAGGCTCTGGCTGGCAGGACAGCTTTGTCTGGGATTGCTCCGGGTCTCCCTTCGAGTCCATGAAGAGGATGGACAGAATAAAAGGGAGGAAAAAGTAGGCTAACAGACATCTTTCCTTAGATTGTCCTCAGTGCAGTGAGACAGCAGCTGGAAGTGAGCAAATGGAGCTGCAGTGCTTCACTGGAGGGTCTGCTGGCGTCTGCCTGCGATGGGATGTTGCTGGGATTTATTACACAAACCCAGGGAAAACCATTCCATTTCAAGGAAATGGTTTTAGCAACACACTCGTGGGGCTCTTGCATGGTATATACATTAAATCCTTCGCTCAGCTCCTGTTGCTCTGACTTCCTGGAGATGTGGCTTGTTGTGGGGGGAATGGAGGATGCTGAGAACCAGCCCAGCAATGCAGGGTTTGCTCCCACAGCCAGAATTCACAGAAACTGGGCCCCACTGGCAGTGTTATGGCTTCTCTTATTACAGTTGAAATCATTCCTAGTACTTAAGCTTGTGGGGGATAAGGATCATTAAGGAAGTTTAAGAAAGGGCAAGAGCTGAGAGAAGCCATTGAAGAGGAGGAGAGTTTGGAAGGAGGAAAAGCTTCTCTGGTCGGTCCCAGTCCAAAGCCTTGCTTCCAAAAGTCACCCTTCTGCCCTTCCACCCTTGACTCTTAACTGGGATTCTTGTTGGGCTCAGGTGCCGTGAGAAGGAAGGGGAAGGAAGGGTTGTTTGCCAGCAGTGGTAAAGGTCAGTTGTCCGTTTGTCTTGCCGCTTTGTTTCCCTCGGCTGCTGGCCAAGGCCGGTGGCTTGGCAGGGCTGGCTGCAGAGCTTTCAGTGCTGCCTGACTCAGCAGAGTGTAATGGATGGGACATCCGCAATCGGGCTTTTTTAATCATTCTGTTTTGATATAAAACCCAGGCGTGGTGGTTGGAGTGCTCGGGGTTCCAGAAGTCTGTGTTGTGATTTGTCAGCTCCATGTAAAACTGCACTGGGGGGCTTGGCTCTGGAGTGCATGGCAAAGAACCCAGTTGTTCTGGCAGAGAGGGGTGAACCAGGAATGTCCTGCAGAATGTGCTCTAAGGTGCTGTGGAAAGGTAACTACAGAAATGTGAGATCATGTGAGATGTAATCCACTTTTCCCAGTTTAGGCTGATCCTTCCATGGAGTTCACAGCCAAGGAGGTTGCTGTAAATCCAGTCCAAATGGTCAACTTCTGCAAATTTATTTCTCCTGACAATGATCTGTATTTTAAATTTAATTCTGACTTATAAAACAACCTTATTTTTGTTGTCCATACAATATTTTTTTCTAATTTATCTCCATGGTTAAACCCCTTGTCCTCTCCTGCTGCCAGTGAAGGCAGAGCTGTGGTTGAATGAGTCCTACTCACGAATCTTCCCAGCACTCTGAAATACAGGAATTATCCAACTCCTACATTGTATATTTACCATGCTAAAGATTACTTTTACAGTGAGAGCAATTCATCTTGGGGGAAGTAAATTTCCCTTCTTCCTTTGATTATTGCTGCTCATTCTGGAAATGAACAAGTGGTGCATATTCTGTGTGTTTGTGTAACTGCAAACTGGAATTATGTCTGCACTTTAAAAGGTTTCCACGTCCTCTTTGGACTAGCATTCATTTTTGGGGTGGTTGAAGCCAGCCTGAGCTGCTATTCCACCCTGAGGTGCTGTTGTAGTGTCGTGTGTGCGTTCTACAAACAGTCCCCATGGCTTCAGTCTGGGGGAAAACAACATCCCAATAAAATCCTGTTTTTCAATCCAAGTGACAGGCGATGGGAAAAGCTTTGTAGAGCTGTAGGTACAATTACCTACAGTGGGTTTGTGTTGTTGAAATAACAGAGTGTCACCTCTGGTGTAGGGAAATGAACTTGGGAGTGCCTTTGTGCACTGATCAGCCTGGAGCTCAGGAGCACAGAGCACGTGTGTGTGCAGCCCGGGGATTCCTGGGCAGAACACTTGGATGTGCTCAGTGCTGTGCTCCAGAGCCAGGGACTTTGGGTAAGCTCTCTTTGGTTTCACAGCCTTTGTCTCCCAGAGTCTCAAGTATACACAGATTTTAATCTTATTTACTGAAGAATTAATGTGTGGCACTGTTGCA